GGTAGTTGGTATATGGGACATCTCTGTGGCCTCCTCTCAATTTCACTGTGAACCTAAACAGCTCTGAAAATAGTCCTAACAAAATAATAAGTTGAAACCCAATCTGAAATATTGGCACAATTTTTTGTAGAAAATAAAAAATAAAGGACATGTGTGTTGCCTCCACATTTTGACAGTTATGAATAAAACGGCTATAAACATCTAAACAACACAAAAAAGAATATTAGTAAATCAAATTTGTTGATGTACTGCCATTTTTCACACGGAATGATTAAGATATATCCCAGGAATTAAGTACAGTTGAATATCCAGAAAAGTATTACTTTAATCTATCATATTAATAGGTCCAAGGAGAAAGCCAAATGGTTGTCATAATAGATGCAGGAAAACGTGTGACAGATTCAATATGCTTTCATGATAAAAACTCTCAGCATACTTAAAAGAGAATTTCCTTAACTTTATAAAGAAGACCAATCAAAAACATATAGCAAGTATCATACTTGAAAGTAAGACACCCAAATTACTCCCACCGAAGTCAGGATACCCATAGCTCTGACATTATAATCAACACAATACTATACACCAACTACACCTCAATTAAAAATATTTAAAATAAAAGAAGTAAATGGCCTAAAAATAACAAAAAAAAACCCTAATTGCAAAATTTATAGTATGAGAATTATATAGTCACATCTATAACAAAGTGTGACATTTACCTAGAATTTAAAGCACTCAAAAGAAGGCTGTACAGTGTCTGCAGATACATAAATACACAGGAAAGTGTAAAAATACACATGCATGTAAAACACCATATCTATGACCCCAGTGATCATTACTCCTTGGGAGGAAGAAAAACAACATCAAAAAGAGCAACCGAGCGAGTGATGTTTAATTTACATTAAAATCTGAAGTCAGTGTGAAAGTTGCTCAGTCGTGTCTAACTCTTTGTGACCCCATGAACTATATAGTACATGGAATTCTCCAGACCAGAATACAGGAGTGGGTAGCCTTTCCCTTCTCCAGGGGATCTTCCCCACCCAGGGATTGAACCCAGGTCTCCCGGGCTGCAGGTGGACTCTTTACCAGCTGAGCCACAATGGAAGAGTAGCATAGTTTATGATTTTACAAAGCTAGGTGCTCTGAATAGGGTTGTTGTGTTATTCTCTATTCTTTGTATACTTGATATATTTCATGATGTAATAAAAAAGAAAAGGAGACAAAACAATTGCTATTGGCAGATGACAGGGCTATTAGAACTAATAAAAGAGCTCAGATCAAACATCCCCAGATCAACAGGATTTCTGTTGATCTGCAATAATAATCTGGGTAAAGGTGTGATGGAAGAACGGCAACCCCATTTTCAGTAGCTAATTAGTTGTAAAATGGGCTTCCCACATGCTTCAGTGCATAAGAATCTACCTGCAGTGCAGGAGATGAGGTTTGATTCCTGGATAGGGAAGATCCCCTGGAGGAGGACATGGCAACCCACTCCAGTATCTTTGCCTGGGGAATCCCATGGACAGAGAAGCCTGGAGGGCTACAGTCCGTGGGGTCACAAAAAGTTGGACATGACTGAAGCAATGGACTACGCATGCAGGCACAGCTGTAAAACATTCAGGAAGAAGCTCTGCAGAACTACACAGAACCTAGATTAAATTACTAAATTATGCTGAGGTATTCTAGTATTGGGCTCCCCTGGTGGCTCTGTGGCAAAGAAGACATGGGTTCGATCCCTGGGTCAGGAAGATACCTTGGAGAAGGAAATGGCAACACACCCCAGTATTCTTGTGTGGGAAATGCCATGGACAGAGGAGCCTGGCAGGCTACAGTCCATGGGGTCGCAAAAGACTCAGACACAACTTAGCAACTAAACAACAACAACAATTTCAGCAACCCTGAAGCATTATGGATATTCTATCTCAATATTATGACTTTCTGATGTGCGATCAGAGGCTTACACAGGTCAGAGAGTGTTCTGCTAGTCACTGACCTATCAAAGCTTGGAACCTAGACCCCCAAGTCTTGGCAACTTCCTCAGACCTGAAGTCAGAAGGTACATTTAACACATTTCCCATCCTTGGCAGCTTTACGGAGCGCTATTGCCCTGAAACACACCCACTGTAGATGAAGAAAATGTTTACTAATGCCCCACTAAAAAGAGCTTTTAACTGTGTGTGTAGCATGTCACTGTGATGCATGAAATCAACCTTCTGTCTTCTAGATTGACTTTCTCTTTGCTCTCCCTGCTAAAAGCAATCTTCCCCCATGCGTGGTAGCTAATAAAGTAAATACTTTTACCTATATTTTTAATCAGCAAAGTGTGGATAAAGTCAAAAGGGGACTACTGGTAAGAGTGCAGACAATGCTAACGAATGTGAAGAATTTAACTTGTCAAGAGGCTCAAGATTCCCAACAGGTGAGGTGTTTTCTAGTTTGTGACCAGCAGATGGCAGCATAATTCAAGAAAAACAAACAAACCCACGTTCAATTCCTTAGTTTCAAAGGTTTCTAATCTTTTTTGAGTTGTGGTGCTCGAGAAGATTCTTGAGAGTTCCTTGGACAGCAAGGAAATCAAACCAGTCAATCCCTAAGGAAATCAATCCTTAATAATATTCACTGGAAGGACTGATGCTGAAACTGAAGCGCCCATACCTTGGCCACCTGATGCAAAGAGCCAACTCACTGGAAAAGACCCTGATGCTGGGAAAGATTGAAGGCAGAAGAAGAAAGGAATGGCAAAAGATGAGATGGTTGGATGACATCACTGACTCAATAGACATGAGTTTGAGCAAACTCCGAGAGATAGTGAAGGACAGGAAAGCCTGGTGTGCTGCATTTCATAGTTTACGGGGTCACAAAGAGTCAGATATGACTTAGTGACTGAACAACAACACATGAGATTATCTACTAAATAACCAGCCTTCTTATCATTGTCATCACCATCACCGTTATAGTAACACCACAATAGAGTGTCACTGAACAAAGGCAACTTCACAGATGAAGTCTCTTTTAGTGAATTCATCTCTGCACGGAATAACATCATATCACAGGGACATCTAGCCATCTATAACATCCCTTACTTTTCAACACTTAAAAGAATTCTAATAAAGAAGGCAACATTTCTTCTTCTTTTTTTTTTTTGGTGGCGGGGATGGGGGAGACAGCTGTACAAGGTCTTCCTGAAAAACACAGGCTTTTTTTTTTCTCTAGTGCTCAATTGCCTCAGGGCATGTGGGATCTTACTTCATGGAGCAGGGATCAAACCTGAGTCCCCTACATTGGAAGGGGGATTCTTAACCGCTGGATCGCCAGGGAAGTCCCAAGAAGGGCAACATCTCTTCCTTGGCAATGCCAGTGCAAGATCTCTGGGTTTATACTGAAGAGCCCTGGCAGTGAGAAATCCTGGGGGGATTACCATCCACCACCAACCATCAGCCTTGGAACTGCCATCCTTGCAGTGCCCACTCTCAGCAGATTCCAGTGACCCAAGTGTCCCCAGCAAGGGCGTGTGCACACATGGGCATGTAAACGTGGAGCTGTTTGTGACTGAGCCTCGGCATTTTAAAACATCTTCTGAAAATCTGAATTCCATGTCTACTGATAGTCACTCCTAACTTTCCTTCCTCAAAGGCCTTATATTTATAGAAATAACATTCTTCTTTTCATGTCACACTCTCATCCTAAATAACAGAACATTTGTTAAAGTCTGGCCAGTAACATATGGACTAGACGGCCCAAGGCCCCCTTCTTGGACTTCATCCAGACTTCTTTCCCACAGTAGCTAAGAGTCGGTGGGCACAGCCACTTGCATGCATAGCTGGGAAAAGCAGAACTGGCATTGGAGGAGAGAATCCCTGGTGACAATTCTTGCACAGGTGCACTAACTAAGGGGCAGTGTCTATCACTGACACTGAACCGCCTGGCTGTGGGGTTTCTGGTGTAGCCCTCCCCTGACCCAGTGAACTCACTAAGGATAATTGAAGACGGCAAACAGCAGAGATGAAAACGCTCAGCTTAGTGGATCAGGTGGCTTGGAGGGAACTGTGCGCTGTCCTGACCCATTTGGGGCCATTGGAGACAACCTCGAGCAGGCATTCTTAAAGCCCAGTGGTCTGGACTATCCATCTCAGTGTTCCAGGAGTAGAGAGAGGAAGAGTCAGACAGACAGGAAGAGCTCTGTCTGCGAGCACGCTGTCGTGTCCAACTCTTTGCGACCCTATGGACTATGTAGCCCGCCAGTTTCCTCTGTCCATGGGATTCTCCAGGCAAGAATACTGGAGGGGGTTGCCATTTCCTTCTCCAGGGGATCCCCCCGACCCAGGGATTGAACCCATCTCTCCTGCATCTCCTGCATTGCAGATGGATTCTTTAACACTGAGCCACCGGGGAAGTCCTGAAGAGGATATGGGCAGGACTTTCCTAACACTGCACTGATTGTTCCCCCCAAAGACAACAACACTTTTGGTGGCAATGGGCCATGCCAGTAGACACTTGGAGGTAGAATCTTCCTGACCCAGGGATCAAACCCACATCTCATGCATTCCAGGAGGATTCTTTACCCACTGAGCTCTCGGGGAAGCCAGTAATAGGTGAAAGAATATCATAAAATAGTGTCATATTAGCCTCTGGATTTGCTGCTGAAGAAGCATCTAGAATCAAAGAAAAAGCTCAGGAGTCAGGCTGTGAGTTGGTGCCGGACGTCTGGGCCCTCCCTCCAGGCATCATTGAGGGGCTCTCTGTGCATCACCAATAACGGTGTGAGGTTTCAGGAAAGATGGTCTGGTTGACCCTCCTTGATCAATCAACCCTAGCCAGGATGACGGAGGACCGCACGGCATAGACAGGGCCACCAGGGGGCACTGTAGAGTCTCTGGCTGCCTCCAGTCTCAGAGCTCGGTGCCCGCCCTATTGAATTCTTGTCTTGCCAACGCCTCCCTCTGCAAGACAGTACCCACACACAGTCCTCTCGATCTTAGGAAAGCTCATGGTCCCGCACTTACTTGTCGTTCACAAGTTTCCCGTGCTGGTGAATCTGATTTTCCATCGTGAAGTTGATTGTGACACCGTACACGTGCTCGTCGTGAAACACCTTCATTTTGGACTTGTATGCTTCATCTTGAAAATACCGGATCATGTCAGGGAACCAAACTGTCAGCCCATAGTAGCTGTAATAGAGAAGACAGGATATTGGAGCAGCAACACCGTCAGAGTCTGCATTCCTGATATGATGCAAATCAAGCCCATTTTAAATGAGTCAGTATGGTTCATTAGAAAATATAACTCATATAAATAGATCTAATGGAAAAAAATCACAACCATCTCCAACGATGCCAAAAAGGCACTTGATAAAAAAACAACATGCATTCTTGATTAAAATGCCAATAGATTAGACATTCATGCGTGCCTTCTTAGCATGTGAAAATATATATAGTGCTGGTGGTTTAGTTGCTAAGTCATGTCTGACTCTTGAAAATCCATGGACTGTAGCCCACCAGGCTCCTCTGTCCATGGGATTACCCAGGCAAGAATACCGAGTGGGTTGCCTTGCCCTCCTCCAGGAGATCTTCCTGACCCAGGGATTGAGCTCAGCTCTCTGGCACTGCAGGCAAGTTCTTTACTGACTGAGCCACCAGGAAAGCCCAAAGTATACATAAATATATCTCAACTCAAAAGAAAGGATCTTTCAATGGGAAAAACACTGTGGTTGCTCCCACTAACATAAGAAATAAGACGAGGATACCCATATCATCACTACTATTTAATACTATGTTGTAGTGTTAGCTAACTCAGCTACACAAGAAAAAGAACATAGGAATATGAAGTTACAAAGCAAGCAATAATACTATATTTGCAAATGATATTTTATACCTAAAATCTCAAGATGACAACTCAAAAAAAATGGCCATGAAACATATAAAAAGGATGCTCCATCCCACCCATAACCCAAAAAGTGAAAATTAAAACCACACTGTGTTATCATTCTCACCCACCAGACTCAAAACCTTGAAGTTTGCAAAAACTCTGCTGGTGAGGCTGCAGGTAAGCGGGTGCTCTTATGCACTGTTGGGAAGAGGACAGCATTTTGCAATACTGTCTCGAGGCGAATTGGTCAGTGCCTACAATGACTGATGGACTTATCTCCTTTTGACTCCATAATTCCATTTCTAGGAAGATATTCCACTGATTAACTTGTCCAATACAAAGGAGCCCACAAAGAGTGACTCATTATGGCACTGTTTGCAATAACAAATGTCTGAAAACTTCCCAACAATCTGGTAACAGGGTCCTGGTTGAATGAAGTGTAGAGTTGTAATGTGGAGAGCTATGCATACATTCTATGCCACTGTAAAAAAGAATGTAAATCTCTATCTAGCCGTATGAGAGAGCTCCAGAATATATTGTTGAAAGCAAAAAGGAAATGCAAGACTGCTTTCTTGCGGTTCCTTCTCATGAGAAAACAATAAAGAAATTTGTAAATATACATATATTTGCTTAAGTTTGCAAAAAGAAATACTAGAATGATAAATAGGAAAATAAAAGATAATTAGAGAGGAGGCAGAAGGGAGTAAGCAGAGGGGGAAGGAAGGGAGACCAGATCTCTCTGAGATTCCAACATTGGAAAGTCATTACCTACTTGACAAAGTTAAATCAGACATAAGGAAATATCTTAAAACTTTCAGTGAATTGGACCCAAGGGTCTACCATTTTAGCTTCTGAAATGTTCTATGTTCTCGTCTAGCTTAGATGGGACAAGTGGAAGTGAGCAGTCTGCTTCTACCTTTACCTGTTTGGTAAAGAGACTGTTTGGGTCTCCATCAATATCTATTGGAAGACACTTGGTTAGATATTGGAAAAAGCAGGTCTTCCCACATTCCTCCCATAATCCAAGAGGTCATTAAAGACAATTGAATTCCCTGGGTTGAGGGGACTGTGTCTTTGGCCATGGGCGGTGGTGAACAAAATAACTTCAAAGATGAAAGTTTAAAATCTCATCAAAAGATTTTAATTGATAATAACAATTTACTGAGCACTTACTGATGTGCCAGAAACAATTTCAAGCATTTTATACATACAATGTATATATATATATATATATATATATATATATTATATTTTAACACTATAAATGGTCCCCAAAACTGGCACAGAAAGAAGGGTCATGTTATCCGGAGGCGAATAAAATGACTAGGGTGAGAGACTACTATTTCAGAGAGGAGCCAGCTAATCATCAATCACGTTATATTTCATTTACTTTATTGCTGTGGATATTATTGCAAAGGTGCTCTGTTTTCTCCATTTAATATTCACAAGGACACTGACAGTTCTTGACCCAGCATTCATTCCCTGCTTCTTCCTTGGGAACAGGAAGTTGATTCTGTTTGGGTGTCAGTGCTCAGGAAAGCTAACGGTATCATCAGCTGAGAGGCAAATCCTGATTAGTCTGAAGTCATTGGGAAATCACATCCCATTCACCAGTGGCTAGTTTAACCCTAAAGCATATGACACACATTTGGCTAATATAATGTGGGGGTGGGGAGAGTCTGCTGGTGGCTTCTGAGAAAGGTTTGAAGTGACAGTGTTAGTCGCTCAGCCATGTCCAACTCTTGACGACCCCATGGACTGTAGCCTGCCAAGCTACTCTCTCCAGGGGATTCTCCAGGCAAGAATACTGGAGTGGGTTGCCATTTCCTTCTCCAGGGGATCTTCCCAACCTGGGGATCGAACCCCAGTTCTCTTGCATTGCAGGCAAATTCTTTACCATCCGAGCCACCAAGGAAGATGAGAAAGGTTTCCTTAATGTTAAAAGTGGAGCTCGGGGACTTCCCTGGTGGTCTAGTGGCTAAGACTCCACATCCTCCCAAGGCAGGAGTCCAGGTCAGGTAACTAGATCACATACATCACAACTAAGACTTTGCAAGCTGCACTAAAAAAGAAAAAGATAAAAATCCCCCATGCAGCAACTAAAGATTCTGCATGCTATAATTAAGACCAAAGATTCCACATGCAGTAACCAAGTAAAAAAAATTCTTTTTAAAAAATCAATCTCAGAGAAAGGCAGCCTCTTCCTCACTGGGATACTTTTCCATGTCTGAGACTGCCGAGAGCAATTGCAGGCATGTTGCTGTCAGATGAGAACTAGCCTGAGGCTGAATCCCCACCTGGAGGCTGCCTCTCCATAGAATTCTTGTTACAAAGGATCAGAAATTTTCTCGTTGTAGAAGCCACTAGAGTTGACAGGGTTGCCTGTCATAGCCAAAAGCATCCAATCTGACACATACTCTATATGAGTTAGAATCAACGGTAACCCTCAACGAACGGATGAGGCATGGGAAGCATAAGAAAATTAGTGAACTTTTTGTTCAGTTGCTAAGTTGGGTCTGACTCTTTGCAGTCCCATGGACTGCAGCACACCAGGCTCCCCTGTCCTTCACTATCTCCCAGAGTTTGCTCAAACTCATGTCCATTAAGTTGGTGATGCCATCCAGCCATCTCATCCTCTGTTGCCCGTCTGGTCCTCCCACCCTCAATCTTTCCCAGCACCAGGGTCTTTTCCAGTGAGTCAGCTCTTTGCATCAGGTGGCCAAAGTATTGGAGCTTCAGCTTCAGCATCTGTCCTTCCCATGAGTATTCAGGGTTGATCTCCTTTAGGATTGACTGGTTTGATCTCCTTGCTGTCCAAGGGACTCTCAAGAATCCTCTCCAGCACTACACTGTCTATGTTTGTCAAAACTTTTTATTAATTAATGAACTTACAGAAGACAGAACTTACCTTAAAGCCATGGTAAACCAGACCACAGCCAGAATCAGAGTGTTCATCCTGTAGGGCCCCATCACACAGTATAGAGCATTTTCCCAGACCTATAACCCACAGCAGAGATGGGTGGTTAAAGGCAGAAACATGCGACTTGGAAGAGATCCTTTTTAAGATTCTCTATTAAATTGCCTAGGAACCCACGGAGAGAACACACAGCAATTGTCTTCCAGAGGCAGCAATTCTGCTCAAGGAACAAGAAACCCTCTTCTGTTCTTATTAGCTGGTGTCATACTCTAACAGTCCTGTAGCATCCACGAACACAACGATGCATGTGACCAAAAGTGCAGTGAGTGGGGATGTCAAGGTGTTGAGTAGCCTTGGGCTCTTCTCCCCACCAGTGGGAATGGATGCTATTTCAAACACTGAACCACCCTGCACCAAGAAGGTTATCCAGGCTCAGTAGACTCTGGCCGTTGACTGCCTGAGTGTTTGACAGTTGGCTTGTCTCATAGGACCGCTTCTCTGGAGAAATGGCCTTGACCTTCATAAAGACTTTCTCAGAGATCACCAACAAACCTGAAAGGGGTCCTTTCTTTCACTCACTCCCTTCTTTCTATGGTTTATTTAAAGAGAAAGTGCCACTGGAGTGGCATATCAGCAAGCACTTTCACCTGATCTAGGATGAGAGTCCCAGAACTGTGGGACAAAAATTGATCCTGAAATGTCTCCCCAGTATGGACTGAATTTCGGACCAAGAGAAGGAAATGATAAGTGGAATACTGCCTGTCATATTGGTAAACAAAGGATGTCACAGTCATCAGTGACCACAGCCATCACCAGAAGGTGGGCCTGTGAGCCCGGAGGGAACTCAGAAGGGAAGAGAATGCCTGCCTTTTAGCAGCCACCAGACTGCAGCAACTCCCCATGGTGAGCCCTGAGGAAACTCAGGATGTGAAAAGCTGAGGTGCATATAAAAGGAATAATTTCAGTGAGCCCAGACTTTGGCACCTTCCCAGGCATGGAAAAACACTAAATTCTCTAACTTGACATATCTAGTTTTCTTTCATTAACAATAAACTTTTGACAGTCAGACTACCTGCCCTTTGTTGCAAAACTCCTATATATTTGGCTTTCCCCCATCCTCACCTCCTTGGATAGTTCTCTCAGAGTTACTTGAGCTACTACTTCCTGGGCTTGAAGTCCTAAAAATTCCCACTGAATAAAAAATAACTCTCAAACCAACAAAAGAAGAAGGTGCTAGAAAGAAAGGTGCTTTCTCAGACTAGACATTGTATCTCCATTCAAAATCTCTGCCTTTGGAAAGAAGAGGAAAGAAAAGAAACTAAGGATTAGACACTTCATGGTTCAGGGCTCACAGGAGTTAGAGGTCAGTGTGGGCTAGGACCCAAATGTTGCTTCCTGCCCATCACAGTGCCTTGGGTTGACAGGCATGTTCAAAACCTCTATTCCTCATCCACTGTCGTTACAGATCACCATAGAGCCTCCCTCTCACCCACCCCAGGTTTCCAAACATACCTGCTTGAAAGTGGTTTTGAATCTGACTAACCAGCGCTGGTACCAAGTTCCTGTTGAACTCTGGATCTCAATGAATTCACCCATTTGCTTGGGAGTTTTAATGTTGGAAACCTGTGAAGCAAAGATGGGCTAGAGAATCTTAACCTTACTTTGACTTTTCAATTTTTAGTTGAATGTAACAGACTTTATTAACTTCCTTAGGGCTAGAGGAGCTTTTGGTGACCCTCTCGTTCAGTAACTCTTAACCAAAATTGTACACATCATCTCTTAACGATCTTTCTCAGGTAGATATGTCTCACTGCAGACAAATGATTCAGTTTTTTCACTCAATTATGGCTTTGGGAAATACATTGAGGAACTGTTTATATCTTAGTTGCCCATAATAGAGTTGACTCCACCTTAAAATTCACAAGTCTATCCTTAATGGGTATTAACACCAGAGAAGTCTAGAGCCTATGTAGACAACAGTGTGTGTATGCATGTGTGTGTGTTAGGAGAGAAAGCTTGCTCTGGAAGACTTTTTAAATTATTTTATTTTTGGCTGTGCTGGGTCTTGTGCTGCACGGGCTTTCTCTGGTTGTGGCGAATCGGGGCTACGCTCTAGTTGCAGCCTGTGGGTTTCTCATTGTGGCGGCTTTTATTGTTGTGGAGCACATACTCTAGGGTGCAAGGCTTCAGTAGTTGCAGCTCCTGGGCTCGAAAGCACAGGCTCAATAGTTGTGGCACATGGGCTTAGTTTCTCCACAATATGTGGGATCTTCTTGGATCAGGGATCAAACCCATGTCTCCTGCATCAGCAGGTGGATTCTTTACCACTGAGCCACCAGGGAAACCCATGTAAGACATTTTTTTAACACAACAGAATAAAAGACAGTAAGTCCTCCTTCTGCACAGTAAAAGAAATCACAAACAAAATGAAAAGACAACCTACTGAATGGAAGAAAATATTTGCAAATCATAAATTTGATAAGGGACTAATATTCAAAATATATAAAGAACCCATGCAACTCAACAGCAAAAAAAAAAAAAAAAAAGGCAAACAATCCAGTTAAAAAATGGACAGAGGATCTGAATAGACCATTTTCCAAAGAAGACATACAGATAGCCAATAGGCAGGTGAAAAAATGCTCACCATCACCATCACAAATCATCAGGGAAATGCAAATTAAAACCACACTTAGATATACCTCACACCTGCTAAAATAGCTATCACCAAAAAGATGAAAAATAACACATGTCAATTAAGATGTGGGGAAAAGGAAATCCTTCTGCATTGTCAGTGGGGATGTGAACTGCTAAGGCTACCAAGGGAAACAGTGTGGAGGTTCCCCCCAAAATTAAAAATAGAACTACCATATGATCTATGAATTTCACTTCTGGATATTTATCTGAAGGAAATGAAAACACTAAATCAAAAAGATATCTGTTCTCCCATCTTCAATGCAGTTATTACTATAACAGTGAAGATATGGAGACAACCCAAGTGGCCACTGATAAGTGAAAGGATAAAGAAGATGTGATACACACACACACACACACACACACACTCACATACATACACATACACACATACACACACATGCACACATACACATGCATACACATACACATGCACACACATACACACACAACCACACATTGGAATACTAACCAACCATAAAAAATAAAATCTTGCCATTTGCAACAACATGGATGGACCTTGAGGACCTTATGGTAAGTGAAATAAATCAGATGGAGAAAGACAAGTACCTCATGATCCCACTTATATTTGGAGAATCAACCAAACAAAACAAAAACAGAAAACCAAGCTCATAGATACTGAGAACAGATTGGTGGTTTCCAGGGGGGAGGGGAGTGGGAGGGGTGGATAAAACAGGAGAAAGGGGTGGAAAGGTACAAACTTTCAGCTACAAAATAAGTCCTGGGATGTAATGTTGCATGGTGAAAACAGTTCAGTTCAGTTGCTCAGTCATGTCCAACTCTTTGCAACCCCATGGACTGCAGCATGCCAGGCCTCCCTGTCCATCACTAACTCCTGGAGGTGACTCAAATTCATGTCCATTGAGTCAGTAATGCCATCCAACCATCTCATCCTCTGTCATCCCCCCTCCTCCAACCTTCAATCTTTCCCATCATCAGGGTCTTTTCAAATGAGTCAGTTCTTCGCAATAGGTGGCCAAAGTATTGGAGTTTCAGCTTCAGCATCAGTCCTTCCAATGAATATTTAGGACTGATTTCCTTTAGGATGGACTGGTTTGATAATAGTTAATAATACTCTATTAATTACTTGAAAGTTGCTAAGAAAGTAAATCTTGAGTCCTCAGCACAAGAAAAAAAAATTGTAACTGTGCGGTGACAGATGGTAACTAGACTTAGCGTGGTGATCATTTTGCAATGTATACAAATATCGAATCATTATACAGAACACCTGAAACTAATACAATGTTACATGCCAATTATACCTTAATTTTTTTTTTTTTAAAAGGGACTTCTCTGGTGGCTCAGACGGTAAAGTGTCTGCCTGCAATGTGGGAGACCTGGGTTCAATCCCTGGGTCGGGAAGATCTCCTGGAGAAGGAAATGGCAACCCACTCCAGTACTCTTGCCTGGAAAATCCCATGGACAGAGGAGCCTGGTAGACTATAGTCCATGGAGTCGCAAAGAGTCGGACACAACTGAGTGATTTCACTTAACTTTTTAAAAAGAGAAATTAGGTCTCCCTTGCTATCCCTGGTTTTCCTGTTGGAAATCAAAGAGATAGGGAGTGGGAATAAGGCTATGTGTAACAGGGAAGAACAGAATCTGACTTCATGTTGGATGTTTCTTTAACCTTTGCCTTCTGTGCCTTTGTTACTAAAAGGATGCTCTCTACAGCTATAAGCTTTCCCTGCCCGGGCAACTCTGCCCCTCTGCATGCATACTAAGCTGCTTCAGTCATGTCCGACTCTCTGTGACCCTATGGACTGTAGTTGACCAGGCTCCTCTGTCCACGGGATTCTCCAGACAAGAATACTGGAATGGTTACCATTTCCTTCTCCAGGGGATCTTCACAACCCAGGGATCGAAACTTCATCTCTTTCGCCTCCTGCACTGGAAGCAGATTCTTTACCACTAGAGCCCGCTGGGAAGCTCACCCCTTTCCCTGACTTTAAACTAAAGTGTCTTTGTTCAGCTCACAGGGCAACACCCCGACCCTGCCCACCTGTGAATGGCTGCAGGAAAGAAGAAATTAACACATCCCCTCCCTGAGGCTGGCCAAGCCAGGAGATATATTGCAAAATTTACGGCCTTTTTACTTTACTTCCTCATCTCCTCCCTGTCTCTGTTCTATAAAAGAAACTAGCATCCAGACCCCAATAAGATGGTAGTCCACCATCTTCTTGGACACCCAACTTGACAAATAAGGTCTCTCTTCCCTGCCTCAACACCTCATCTCCCGATTTATTGGCCTGTCATGTGGTGAGAAGACCAAGCTTGAATTCAGCAACACAAGAACCCTGGAAAGTGTCCATTTGTCCAATGTCAGCAGGTAGCTCCAAGAAGCAATCTTGACTCATTAAGACAGTGATTTTCAGCTTAATCAATGTTTAAGACAACCACTGAATTCTATAACTAACAATCACGTTAAGGAGATTTCTGACCACACACTCTTAGCCAAGTTATCAACATCTGTGCTCGCAGACCAAATTAGAAGAAAATGGAAGAGCCTACTCAAAAAATTCAAAAGTAGTTTCTAGCACCTCCTCCAACAAATCTTTCTTCTAGGGAGAAAAGGCTTTAGTCATAAGAGTGTTTCCAATTCTTTCTTCAACCAAGGGACTGAGGATTTAAAGAGACAAAGGAAGAGAGAAGTGAGGTTGAATATTCACACAGGAAAATACAGTTGCTGAAATAGAAACAAGTGGCTCTTTAATTCCCCAGCTCCAAGCCCAGGATGGTGCAGCTTTGTTTTTCTAAAGCTTGAACACAGTGGTTCTTAAACTTTTGACTGGGCTGGATATCCCTTTGAGAACCTAGTAAAAGCATAGGTGCTCTTCTTAAAATTGCAAGTATATAAGCACACCAGAGCCTCCTGAGCTGGCCCTGCCATTCCTGGGGGTGTGGCCTTTGCAATTGCTCTACTGTTTAGGTCCAGACAGGGACACAGGAGAGGGAACCCCGTTGGCCCCCATCATGGGACTCTTGGCTGGAGCTGATCTTCCTGTTATTAGATAACCCAGGGAGACCAAGAACACAGCTGAAGCCAAAAGAGGCTGAGTGGAAGTGTTGAAAAAGTGTCAGTTGCTCGGTCATGTCTGACTCTTTCTGACCCCATGGACTGTATCCCACCAGACTCCTCTGTCCATGGAATTCTCCAGGCAAGACTACTTAAGAGGGTTGCCATTCCCTTCTCCAGGGGATCTTCCCCACATAGGGATTGAACCCAGGTCTCCTGCATTGCAGGTGGATTCTTTACCATCTGAGCCACCAGGGGAAAGTTGACCCCAAATCAGGAAATATGTTACAATTCACACTCAATGGGACTTCCCTGGCAGTCCAGTAGTTGATGCTCCATGCTTCTACTGCCGTGGGCTCTGTCAGATTCCATCCCTGGTCGAGGAACTAAGATTCCACATGCCTTGTGGTACAGTCAAAAAAATGCAAATTTTGTTTTTGCTTTCCTCTTGGGGAAAAATAACACCTTATTCCCTAGGGATCTGGGAGTGGGTGTGTTGACAGCTGCAAGCACAATTACTCTAATTTACAATTAACTAGGATGCTTGGCTTTGTTTTGGTCTAAACTATAATATGGTGTGTGTTCGCCCCAGCCCTGTAGAACAGCAGTTCGCAAGGGAATATTTCAACACCTCTCTTTTGCAAAGGTGTCCTAGGGACACCTGCCAGGGGTCATTATGGAAGCCTGTGAGGCAGCAAACAGGGCTGGTGAAGCCAGGGCCCTGTAGGGGAGGAAAGAGTTCTCCTCTGCTGTCCTAGACTCCCTGACTCAGTCTGGAAGCCAAACTGGCAAAGACAGATTTAACAGGAGTAGGGACTTCCCTGGTGGTCCAGTGGCTAAGACTCTGTGCTCACAATGCAGGGGGCCTGGGTTCCATCCCCAGTCATGGATCTGGATTCCTCAACTGAAAGATTCCCAGTGCTGCAACTGAGACAACACAGCTGAGAAAGATTAAGAGAAGTAAAGCACCCACATTTTACTAATTTTTTACATATCTGTGGGAGCCTTCACAAGAGAATGAAGTCCCAAAGAAGTGACCAGTGCAGGAAGCTTTTATACTGTGTGTGTGTGTGTGTGTCTGTGTGTCTGTGTGTTACTTTCTCAGTCATGTCCAACTCTTTGTGACCCTATGGACTATAAGCCACTAGGCTCCTCTGTCCATGGGATTCTCCAGGCAAGAATACTGGAGTGGGTTGCCATGCCCTTCTCCAGCGGATCTTCCCGACTCAGGGATGGAGCCCCGGTCTCCTGCACTGCAGGCGGATTCTCCATTATCTGAGCCACCAGGGGAGCCTTAGAAACAGTAAATTTGTGAAGAACAGACAAAACAAAGGGATTTGGGTGAATGATGGTGAAGAAGTAATTAGGATGATAAGCGTTTGTTTATATAGCCTTCTTGGTCTGAAGAACAACAGCCATAGCTCTTGAGAACAACATCTTCTTTCCTCCTGGTTCAGGGAAGGCATCTTTCATGTGGGAGATTTATGGCCTGTTTCAGGGAAGGAGGAGGAGCAAGGGGAGGTCAGAGTAACCTTTCTGCTTCTGCTGTTCTCTCCAACTCCTTCAGCTTACGAGATACACTATGCCAAGGTGCCATAATTTGGGGCTGTTATATCCTGAACCCCATCAGCTCAAAGGCAGAGTGAGGAGGGCCACGCCCAGGCTCCCTATGAGCACTGAGTCCAGCCTGCCCGACGGTCTTCCTCAAGGCCCTTGAGCACATTCAGTGTGATACCTCCACGGAGGGCGGCACGCAGGAGCAGAGCAAGGGACCCCATCCAGTGGGGCCGAGTATCCACTTCCCACTCCAGCCACAGCCCAGCGGTCTGAGGTTAGTAACTCTTTCCAGTCCTTTGTTTTTTTCCCTTTTTCCCCTGCCCCATCCAGTCATCCGCTTCTACATCATTAATATGATCATCAAGTCAGCATGATACCATGTAGGACCCTGTGGGGCTCCTGGGCATAAGGCCTTTCTGTGTCCCCCATTTCTTTGATTATAGGAAAGAGCCTTCATTCAGCCTCCATGACCTTCCCTGAGTTCCAATGGGCAATTCCAAGCAGTCGTTAATTAGGGAAGGGATGATAGATCAGGGAGAAACAATAGTGCAGCCTTGGAGCAAGGTCCTGTTTCCACATCAGTGGAAATGCTCACAAGCATGTAGACCCCAGACTAGTTGGACCTGAAGGCTGATGATGCTGACTCCCACTTAACTCACCACCAACCCATCAGAAGAACGTCCATGAGCTGATCACACCCTCCTTGAGCAATTACTATGAAATTTCTCACTATCTTCCCCATGTTGGGACACACATTTCTGAGAGCATTAGTGTGCTGTGGGCCCCCCTTTCCTGACAAAGCAATAAAGCTACTCATTTCTACTTCATCCAAAACTGTCTCTGAGATTGGATTCAGCACCCTGTGTACAGAACAGCTGAGCTTTCAGTGTCAGTTATAGAAATACTGAGTCCATAACCTTTCTGATTCCCTTTTCCTGTGGAGGGGTGAAAACTACTGACAACAGAGTTAATGCCCAAGGACTTAGTGACCAGCACGCGTGTTGGAGAAAGACAAAAGTCCAGGTCTCAGAGCCCTCTGCCCACTGACTCCTGCCCAAGCTTTCTTCTGGGGCATACACACCCTTCCTGAAATGAGGAGTTCTGGTCATGAAGTAAGGGCTCAGTTTCACCTTTGGAATTTGGGGTTTTGATTGATTTTCAGGCCAATATCTCATTTCTTAAAAGTAAGCTGTTTATGTTAGAATGGGTTGTTAAAAGAGAAAGTCAGACCACTTCTCTACAAAGGGGTCCCAGTCAGGCAACTCTGTGGTTGGCTTATTTTTTTTATTTAATTTTTATTGGAGGATAGTTACCTTATGATGTTGTATTAATTTCTACTATAAAACAAAATGAATCAGTCACGTGCATGCGAAGTCGCTTCAGTCATGTCTGACTCTGGGACCCTGCAGACTGTAGCCCACCAGGCTCCTCTGTCCACGGGATTCTCTGGGCAAGAATACTGGAGTGGTTTGCCATGCCCTCCACCAGGGGATCTTCCCAACCCAGGGCTCAAACCCCAGCCTTCTGCAGCTCCTGCACTGAAGGCAGCTTCTTTACCACTAGCGCCACCTAGGAAATCGCACGTCTACACACATCCCCTCTCTTTTGGACTCCCTTCCCATTCCGGTCACCGCAGCGCATAAGTAGAGTTCCCGGTGCCATACAGCAGGTTTCCATGAGTTATCTATTTTGTACACAGTATCAAGCTGCAGTTGGTTTAGAAGTGATCCTTCCAGGGGCAACCTTAGGAAAACCACTGTGTGTTAGGTCCTGCACAGGACAAGCAGAGTAAGACAGAGGTGGAAGGTCAGGGAGATTTATAGTTACAGGGACAGACACGCAAATGAAGTGGACAGTAATCTACCCAAGGAAGACTCCTCTTAGGAGAGTTCAGGGTTATTGTGGAATAAACACCGTACATTAATAAACTGCTTCACATGTGGGAAAATCCCTGGGAAATGGGCTCAAACTCAAAAGACATAAACTTCTTTGCATGAGTCAAGGAGAAAAATGTGCTTTATTCCACAGAGAGGATAGGGGAGGGGAGGGGACTAAAGAGGGAGAAAGGAAGAGGGGATGGAGAGAAGGAAGGAGGAGACCCTGTTCTCTGAGAGGTCGATCCTCTGCCCCTTCAGTCCATGCAGTTGCAAAGTTGGGCACAACTGAATGACTAACACATACACATGTATAAGAAAAAATTTAAGCTAAATGTTATACTATAAAATTCCTAGAGGAAAACATAGGCAGAACACTCTCCGGCATAAATCACAGCAAGATCCTCTATGACCCACCTCCCAAAGTAATGGAAATAAAAGCAAAAATAAACAAACAAGACCTAATTAAACTTAAAAGCTTTTGCACAATGACGGAAACTATAAGCAAGGTGAAAAGGCAGCCTTCAGAATGGGAGAAAATAATAGCAAACGAAACAACTGACAAAGAATTAATCTCCAAAATATACAAGCAGCTCATGCAGCTCCATACCATAAAAATAAACGACCCAATCAAAAGATGGGCCAAAGAACTAAACAGACATTTCTCCAAAGAAGACATACAGATGGCTAATAAACACATGAAAAGATGCTCAATATCACTCATTATCAGAGTGATATTGTGCAAATCAGAGTGATATCAGCAAATCAGAGTGATATCAGCAAATCAAAACCACAATGAGGTACCATCTCATGCCGGTCAGAATGGCTGCTATCAAAAAGTCTACAAACAATAAACACTGGAGAGGGTGTGGAGAAGGGGGAGCCCTCTTACACTGTTGGTGGGAATGCAAACTAGTACAGCTGCTATGGAGAACAGTGTGGAGATTCCTTAAAAAACTGGAAATAGAACTGCCATATGACCCAGCAATCCCCCTGCTGGGCATACACACCGAGGAAACCAGAACTGAAAGAGACACATGCACCCCCATGTTCATCGCAGCACTGTTTATAATAGCCAGGACATGGAAGCAACCTAGCTTTCCATCGGGACATGAATGGATAAGAAAGTTGTGGTACATATATACCATGGAATATTACTCAGCTGTAAAAACGTATGCATTTGAGTCAGTTCTGATGAAGTAGGTGAAACTGGAGCCCATTATACAGAGTGAAATAAATCAGAAAGAAAAACACCAATACGGTATGTTAACACAAGGAATTTAGAAAGATGGTAACAACGACCCTATATGCAAGACAGGAAAAGGGACACAGATGTAAAGAACAGACTTTTGGACTCTGTGGGAGAAGGTGAGGGTCGGATGATTTGAGAGAATAGCATTGAAACATGTATATTACCATATGTGAAATAGATCACCAGTCCAAGTTCAATGCATGAGACAGAGCACTCAAAGCCAGTGCTCTGAGACAGCCCAGAGGGCTGGGGTGGGGGGGGGGGTGTGGGAGGGGTGTCTGGGACCGCGGGACGCATGTACTCCCATAGCTGAGTCATGTCGATGTATGGCAAAACCACCACAATATTGTAAAGCAATTAGCCTCCAATTAAAATAAATAATTTTTTAAAAAGATGATTCTGAATACTATTAGACACATGTAGAATGTCTATGAGTGCTCTTAAATAATATATATTTATATGTAAATATATGTACATCTGGCTACCCCCGTATGAATACAGCTAGTTTTTTCCTTTGCTATTTTTGAGCAACTAGTGGTACCAAAAAGGAATCCATCAAAACACAAAAAATAATTATGATGCAGTAATAGGAATGTCAGGGGCTTTATTTCCCTTTTGACAAATTTTCTGCGATGTGCTTATGCAGTAAAATTATTTTTTAGCAAACCAAAGCAGTGAAGAGGAGAAGCCCCGCCCTGGCTGGCACAGGTGACCACGCACTCACCGTGAACACCTTCTCTGGTGCCCCCTTGGCCCTCATGTTGGTGTCGTGGACGTGCTTGAGAATCATCCAGGCTTCGTCGTGTTTGCCCATCTGGTGAAACCAAGGAGAGAGACATGAACAGTCCTTTGCTAATTAGAGGTGGAAAACCCTACAGAAACAGCAGGGTGCTGATACCCAAGTCTTGGCCATTGGCCATGGACACGTTACAGTCTACGGCTTGTGAAAAACCAGGTCAAGCCATAATCAGGCTGTGCCTTTGAGGTGTAAATACTGGGTATTATCATCATCATAGGCTGTGAGTAACTACCCGTAGTTTTAAGGTTGAATAGACTGCAGGTGGGAGCCATGATCCTCTCTGGCAGATTAAAGCCAAGACCCAACATATAACAGGTTCAATTGTGTTCCCCATGCCAAAAGATATGTTGAAGTTCTAGCCCTCAGTGCCCCAGAAGGTGACTTTATTTGGAAGTAGAGTTGCTGCAGATGTAATTAATTAAGATGAGGTCATACTGGAGTAGGATGGGCCCCTAATCCAACATGATTGGAAGAAGAGCCCAAGTGAAGACCTAGAGGCACTCAGAGAGAATGCCTTGTGGTGACAAAGACAGATTGGAATGAACGAGCTGCAAGCCAAGGAGCACCCCAAATGTACGCAACCCATCAGAAGCTGGAAGAGGCAAAGTGAAGGTTGCCCTACGGCAGTGGTCCCTAACCATTTTGGCACCAGGGACCTGTGTCATGGAAAACAATTTCTCCGTGGACCAGGATGCAGAGGATGGTTTGGGGAGGATTCAAGTGCATTGCATTTATTGTGCACTTTATTTCTATTATCACTGCATCAGCTCCACCTCAGATCACCGGGCACTTGATTCCAGAGGTTGGGACCTCTGCCTTAAGGACTTCTGAGGGAGTGTGGCCCTGCAAACACCTTGATCTGGCACTTTTAGCTAACAGATCTGGGGGACAACAAATTTCAGTGACTCTGAGACACTCAGTTTGTGTACCTTTGTTACAGCAGTCCTAGAGAGCTAATACACATCAAAGCTTCTGAGATAAGCTTGGATTAAAAAAAAAAAAAACTTTTTGCTGCATCTGCCCATGACCAATGGGATGAAAGAAGACATTCAACAAGAAAGTCTGCAGAAAGTTAGAAGGAAGCTTGTGAGTGGATTCTGAGAACTGGGGCTATAAGAGCCTTGGAGTCCTATCGCCCTTCCACCAGCACTACCCATCTGACCACTGCAAGCATGGAAGCCTCCACCACTACCATCAAGTTGGAAACGTCTTAGGACTGTGGGAGCAGCCTTCTGGAGGAGAGAGGTCCTGAAAAGACAAGAATCTTGAAGGGCTGGGGAGCAGGGAGAGATCTACACCCAGTTCACCACAGTAGCAAGGAAAAAACTCCATGCAGCTTTTTGTTTTTAACTTTGGGGGTTTTTTGTTTTGTTTTGTTTTCTGCCTCACAGCATGTGTATGTTAGTTCCCTGCCCAGGGATTGAACCTGTGCCTCCTGCAGTGGAAGCATGTTGTCTCAACCAGTGGACTGCCAGGGAAGTCCCCTTCATGCAGCTTTGAAGGTCATCAGGACCTCTGGGGAGCATGGGTACCAGAAGCATCTTCGAGAGGGTGCCCTCCAGCTCCGCCCTGACTCGGGAAGCAGTGCCTCTGCTCTGCGCTCTGTGAGCTCGAGCCCCTCCGGCTCTGGTAGTCCTTGAATCCTGGGCAGGCCACCATCACGATGGGTTTAATGACGGGCCAGGTCAAAGCCGGCCTGGGACCGAGGGGCTAGGACAGCAGGACTCGCATGGGGTGGGGGCACTGACTCACCTCCAGCAGAAACCTCGGGCTCTCCGGCATGAACTTCAGGGCCACCATGGACACGGTGCAGGGCAGAGCGCAGACGATGACAAAGACTCTCCAGCTGTGGAAGTGGTAGTTGCTGCCCATGCTGAAGCCCCAGCCTGTGAAGAAGCAGTCAGATATGCAGCACTATTTACAACAGCCAGGACACGGAAGCAACCTAAATGTCTGTCGACAAATGAATGGATAAAGATGTAGTATATATTCACAGTGGAGTATTACTCAGCCATAAAAAGGAATGAAACTGGGTTATTTGTATTGATAAGGATGGACCTAGAGTCCATCATACCAAGTGAAGGAAGTCAGAAAGAGAAAAACAGATATAGTACATTATGCCTATTTATGCAATCTACATGGAGAAGGAAATGGCAACCCACTTCAGTGTTCTTGCCTGGAGAATCCCAGGGACGCAGGAGCCTGGGTGGGCTGCTGTCTATGGGGTCGCACAGAGTCAGACACGACTGAAGCGACTTAGCAGCAGCAGCATGCAATCTAGAAATATGGTACAGATGAGCCTGTTCACAGGGCAGAAGCAGAGACACAGACATAGAGGACAGACATGTGGACACAGAGGATGGAATGAATTGGGAGAGTAGCATTGATATATATACACTCAGTTCAGCTCAGTCGCTCAGTCATGTCCGACTCTCTGCAACCCCATGGACCACAGCACCTGTTCTCCCTGTCCATCACCAACACCCAGAGTCCACCCAAACTCATGTCCATTGAGTCAGTGATGCCATCCAACCATCTCATCCTCTGCCATCCCCTTCTCCTCCTGCCTTCAATCTTTCCCAGCATCAGGGTCTTTTCAAATGAGTCAGCTCTTCACATCAGGTGGCCAAAGTATCAGAGTTTCAGCTTCAACATCAGTCCTTCCAAAGAACACCCAGGACTGATCTCCTTTAGGATAGACTGGTTGGATCTCCTTACAGTCCACGGGACTCTCAAGAGTCTTGTCCAACACCACAGTCCAAAAGCATCAATTCTCCGGCACTCAGCTTTTTTATAGTCCAACTCTCACATCCATACATGACCACTGGAAAAACCATAGCCTTGACTAGATGGACCTTTGTTGGCAAAGTAATGTCTCTGCTTTTAATATGCTGTCTATGTTGGTCATAACTTTCCTTCCAAGGAGTAAGTGTCTTTTAACTTCACGGCTGCATCACCATCTGCAGAAATAGACAGCTAGCGGGAAGCTGCTCTATAGCCCAGGGAGCTCAGCTCAGTGCTCTGTGATGACCCAGAGGGTGGGGCGGGGAGTGGGGGGGGGCTCAAGAAGGAGGGGGTGTGTGTATACGTATGGCTGATTCCCTTCATTGCGCAGCATAAGCTAACACAACATTGTAAAGCAACTATACTCCAGTTGAAAATAAAGCAGTCAGAGTTTCTGACACTTGGTCTTAGACTGACCTTCAAGAAAGTGAAAGTGTTAGTCCCTCAGTCCTGTCTGACTCTTTGCAACCCTATGAACTGTAGCCTGCCAGGCTCCTCTGTCCATGGGATTTTCCAGGGAAGAATACTGAGGTGGGTTGCCATGCCCCTCTCCAGGGTATCCTCCCAACCCAGGGATCGAACCCGCACCTCCTGCATTGCACGCAGATTCTTCACCATCTGAGCCATCAGAGAAGGCAAAGGAAAGCCAGAGCAGGGCCTTACGTGACCCAGGGTTTTGATGGGGGTCACTCTCACCCACGTCAAACAGCGATACCAGCTCTGGGTGATTCCGAAGCACAGGGCTTAGGACCACACTTTGAAAACCACTGTCAGTCATAACACCAATTTTTTTTTTAAGCAACTGAGCTTCTACATTCAAAGGAATTCCATAATCATTGAAACAGAGAGGTGACTAGCTCCAACTCAGCTTTCATTATATTCAAAGTATTCCTAAAACTCGTTTTTGCAAATTGCCTTCAGAATCTACAAAATGTGATTTCAAACATCTTTACAAGTAGCAAATTTCCCTGTCTCAGGGAACAATGACACAGTGGAAAGTGTCTGGACTTCTGCAGTCACATAGGTCAGAGTTCAAATCCTGGCTTTCTCACATCATTATTGTTACGTTGGTGAGTTTTCACAGCTGTAGAATGCAGGTAATGGTACTTCCACAGATTCACTGTGTGTGAAAGCTCCCCAACAACCAGTAATAACCCGCCTGCTTTGAGGGCAACTTTGATTTGTTTAGAAGTAGTTACAGGACATTTAGTGCCAAAGATGTTGAATAAAATAGGTGAATATCAGCAAATATCAGCAAAAGAACTGTTTTCTTTGAAAGCCAAAGTTATGAAGTAGACTGGTTCTCTCAAGCCACTCAAAACAAACTCTGAAGACAATTCCAACAGCATTTCTGTTGTATTTTTTTTTTAAGATCCTGTTTTTTGACGGGGACCATTCTTAAAAAGTCTTTATTGGACTTGTTACAGTATTTCTTCTGTTGTTTGTGCTTTGCTCAGTCTCTCTGTCATGTTCGACTCTTTGTGACACCAAGGACTGTAGCCTGCCAGGTTCTTCTGTCCATGGGATTCTCCAGGCAAGAATACTGGAGTGGGTTGCCATGCCCTCCTCCAGGGGATCTTCCTGGCCCAGGGATCAAATCCAGGTCTCCCCCATTGCAGGCGGATTCTTTAACCATTTGAGCCACCAGGGAAACCCATGAGTACTGCAGTGGGAAAGCTATTCCTTCTCCAGGGGACCTTCCCAACCCAGGAATCAAATCAGGGTCTTGTGCACTGTCCGTGGATTCTATGCTTTGGATTTTTGGCCTCAAGGTATGTGGGATCTTCGCTACCCAACCAGGGATCAAACCTGCACCCCCTGTATTGGAAGGCAGTCTTAACCACTAGACCGCCAGGGAAGTCCCCCAATAGCATTTCTTAAAAAGACCTAACTTTATAAATAAATAGAGTGATTTCTAAAGCTCAAAGGGTAAACATTATTCTGCTGTAAAATCTCTTTTCCATTTACTTGAAAAATACACTAAATGGCTAACTCTGGAGTGGGAGGTTTATGTCTTGAAGTCTATTACTCACCACTGCAGTTCAACTTGTCCTACTTGCCAGAGATTCCTAATATCTCTTTGTTTCTCCAGATATTTCTAATTCTATTTGCAGAGTGAAAGGACTGGCCAGAGAGAATCCCAGGTGGAAAAGCACGGAACTGTGGCCACTTTTACACAATGGCCACAGAACATAATACACATAATACATCCAGCCTTCTCAATCAGAATCAAACCTCTTTATGCACAGCCCATCCTCCCTCCGATATCACTGGGGTTTGCTTGTTTATTTTAATTTTAATTAAAAAGCCTTCCCTTTCTCCTGGGAGTGACAACTGGAAGAGGAAGATGAAACCACAGGAAGATTTTCACATCCTCAGCTCATGTTCAAAAACCATTCTGGCCTAACTAGAAATAAAGTTGATCAAAACCACACAGCCATCCAACTCAGGTGGGTAACAAGAGAAGAAGAACAGAAACAGGTATCTTTAGAAAGTACCCTGCCTCAGGGAGATATTTTTTTCTTAATGATAATATGTGCAAATTATCCAAAATCCATTATTCCCTCATGCCTCTCTGGTTTTTACGGTGACTTAGTAACCTGTACTTCATTAGGCACATCTTCGGGGCCTTAAATTAAATAAAATTAAATAGTAAACTGCTTCCAAATATATGGAGCAATTGCTAATCTGGAAACAAGGATTGTCCTGTTCACTGATCTTTTAGCTTGCCCTACTTTTTCTCCATGAGGATCTCACAAACAGCTGGTGCTGCTGACTACAGTGGGAATTAATCTTCCATAATATAGCCACTTTTTTCAGGGCTGTGCCCATGACTTCCCAGAAAAACATTTTGAGCTTTGTAGTTTTCTTTCTTAATGACTCCATCACCCAAATTCCTAGTGCCAAGACCTCACATCATTTCATTCCGGCAAAAGCAATTAAATGGTTTGTACAAGTTACATACAAACATTCAGTCTCCTTTCTGGATCACCCCTGCATTTGTCCCTGCTGAGTGGAGGCGATGTTAGAGGATTAATGTCTTAGGTCTATTAAAAAAAATCACCAAATAACTGGTTCACTGTGGACAAAACATCTGGTTCTGGTAAAAATGCAGCTTAAGATAAATAGTCACTCCTGTTACACTGTGATTTTAGTCTACCATATTTCTAGGATGGCTTGCCCTCAAGTAAATGTGTGTTTCAAGCCTTCAAGCCCAATCCTCCAAGAGGCTAGTATTTTTAAATGGCATGTAAAAGCCACAGATTTCATACAAGCATCAGTTCAGTTCAGTTCAGTCACTCAGTCATGTCTGACTCTTTGTGACCCCATGGACTGCAGCACACCAGCCTATCCTGTCTATCACCAACTCCCGGAGCTTGCTCAAACTCATGTCCATTGAGTCCATGCAGCCATCCAACTATATCATCCTCTGTCATCCCCTTCTCCTCCTGCCTTAAATCTTTCCCAGCATCAGGGTCTTTTCCAGTGAGTCAGTTCTTCGCATCAGAAGGCCAAAATATTGGAGTTTCAGCTTCAATATCAGTTCCTCCAATGAATATTCAGGATGGATTTCCTTTAGGATTGATTGGTTGGATCTCCTTGCAGCCCACAAAAGCATATAAATAGGAAAATATCCTGTCCATTTGGAGTAGGATATTTAAGCACAAGCCCTGCTATCAGCCAGCAGCCTTATGGCCCCTCTGCCATGGGCATCCCATTAGGTCTTGATCAACAAGTTCCCAACCTGAATTATTTTATTGCTTCTTTAAAAACCAGACACCCAGACATTGGCACATGTTAGTGTGTAAAGTGAAGTGAAAAAATGACACAGTTTGTAGTGACTACTGTGGGCTGCTCCCCCACCTCACAAAATCTTTCCAGTCCTTCCCCACTGGGTTGCAGACTTAAGGTTTAGGTGGGACTAGCCCCACCCCCAATGCTAGGGATGGGGAATGAAGTATATGAAACCCTCAGTAGCTGGCATCCTCTGGGGTTTAGTGATTGGCTGAGGTGAGCATGTGACCTAAGCTGATCCAATCAGAGGGAAGCCAAGAACCTTTGCTCATTGGTTGGTTGTGGGGGCAGTTCCCTTACAGAACAAGCAGTCTACAAACAGGGCTAGAATTCTAATGCAGCTTAGAGGGAAGCCAGCCCAAGTACTAGAATCATCTCCAAAATTTTCTCGACATTCTTTGCATCCCAAGAACCGCTGGCTGTTAGGGCTGGCACAGATCAGATCTCTAGAGTCAATTCCCTTTGCTTCTTTCTCCCTTCATTTTATAGATGAAGGGACCAAGCCTGGACAAGCTAGAGTGACTTGTTCCAAATTACACAGCCCTGCTATTTTGACTCAGCTTTTATCCAGAGTCTATTTGTTCCCCTCCCAACAAATTTTTCTCATTCAATTTATATGTAGAAATAGTCTCTTATCATTAACACATTTGGATCAATGACCAGGGGAAATGATATTATATTAATAGCAAGGACAAAAGCAATTCCTTGGACCCATGTAACCAACAGCCTGGATAATTAAAGTGTGCCTTTGGGGGAAGGGTAGAATGCAGAGCCTAATGTGGGGAATAATACAGTTTTGTATCTAAAATTATGAAAAACTGCCTGCGTGCGTGCTTAGTCACCTCAGTTGTGTCCACCTGTGACCTGATGGACTGTAGCCTGCCAGGCTCCACTGACCGTGGGATTCTCCAGGCAAGAATACTGGGGTGGGTTGCCATGCCCTTCTCCAGGGAGAACTGCCTATGGTAACAGAATTACCTGGAAAACATCGACTCTTTATTTCATTGTTTCTGTTCCTATTTCTCTCTCTGTTTCTGATACAAAATCCAGGGGGATATGGTCTCAAACCCGTTTCCTCTGGCTTCAGGGCACACAGCTAGGTCACACTCCCAGTGTCCTTTGGGTCGCATTACAGATCTGGGGCCAAGGGGATGTGAGCAAAGAGGATGTGATCCACTTCCTACCCTGCCCTTCAAAAGCACCCACATGCAACTGCCCATGCTGTTTTCCTGAACCAGCAACTAGGTTACATGCTGAAGAGGGGAGACACACCCTGGGAGGAACCTGAGCCCTAAGACTACTGAGGAGCAGAGTTGCCCACAGATCAGAAAGACCAGCCAGCTTTGAAGGAGGGGAAATATCTTTGGTATTAAACCACTGAGATTTCAGGGTTGATCAGGTTCTCAGGGTAATATACCCAGCATCTCCTTAACTATACCAATCCAAGAAGATTGCTTCTTCTTAAAAAGATAATGCTAAAGCCTCCCTTAGCCCAGAACAGACACCAGTGAGGGTTAGATTTAAAACAAGCATGCCAAGAGAAAAAGGAACCCTCCTACACTGTTGGTAGAGATGAAGATTGGTACATCCACCTATGGACAACAGTATAGAGGTTACCTAAAAAACTAAAGATAGAATTACCATATGATCCTGCAATCCCACTCCTGGGCATTATCTAGAGAAAATCCTAATTCAAAAAGCTACATGCACCCCAGTGTTCATAGCAGCCCTACTGCAGTAGCCAAGACATGGAAGCAACCTAAATGTCCACGGACAGCTGAACGGATGAAGAACATGTGATATACATTACGGAATAATGCATGCATGCATGCTAAGTCACTTCAGTTGTGTCTGACTCTTTGCAACCCTGTGGACTGTAGCCCACCCAGTCTCCTTTGTCAGCAGGATTCTCCAGGCAAGAATACTGCAGTGCATTGTTATGCCCTCCTCCAGGGTATCTTCCCCACCCAGGGATCAAACCCACATCATCTCCAGAGGCTCCTGTATTGCAGGCAGATTCTTTACCACTGAGCCACCAGGGAAGCCACACTATGGAATATTACTGAGCCATAAAAAATAACGAAATAAGGCCATTTGCAGCAACATGGATGTATCCAGAGATTATCAGACTAAGTGAAGACAGAGAAAAACAATTATCCTATGATATCGCTTATATGTAGAACCTAAAAATGATACACATGAACTGATTTCCAAAACAAAACAGACTAACAGACATAGAAAACAAATGAACGGTTACCAAAGGGCAAAGTGGGGAAGGGATAAGCTGTAAGCTTGAGATCAACATAGACACACTACTATATATAAATTAAATAACTATTAAGGACCTACTATATAGCATAGGAACTATATTCTATATTTTGTAATAAACTCTATGGGGAAAGAATCTGAAAAAGAATAACTGACTCACATTCCTATACACCTGAAACTAACACAACATTGCAGATAAACTGTACTTTGATAAACACACACACACACCAAGGAGGGGAATGGGTAGAGGAGTGTTGGTTAACTTCAGGGGCAGCTGTCTGCTCTTCCGTATGGTCTGCAGGATTCTAGATGATGGCAAAGCCTACCCCCATAATCAGCAGTGTGCCAAAAATAATTTTGAAGGACATTAATGGCATTACCCAGGATACTCCAAAGGCATAATCGAATTCAAAACTGCTGCCTTCTCCCTACTTTACCCTTAATAAAATCCAACAGTGAAAATTAATGTTGCCAAGTCTGTGTCCTGAAAATCCAGTTTTCGCAATTAACCAAGATAATAAAATTGTCTCGGCTGAAACCAAGACCTTGTCTGTAAGGGCTGCTCTGTGTCTGCAACCAAAAGAGGGACAGCAGGAAGTAAAATGGAAAATACACTAGAGCACTGCCAGTGAGGGAGGGGGCGTCGGGATTCAAGGTCATGCCAAGGCCATGTCATCGATCTGGCCGAGTTACCAACTTCTTGGCCTCTGCTACAGCACCTATAAAAAGGAATTACTGAGCCTAACTTATTGTGAGGAGGAGAACTGGAGATGAAGTTTGCTTTAAAGGGCTTCCCGGGTGGCTCAGATGATAAAGAATCCACCTACAATGCAGGAGACCCAGGTTCGATCCCTGGGTCGGGAAGTTCCCCTGGAGAAGGGAATGGAGCCTAGTTTGCTGTGAGGAAGAGGGCTGGATAGAAGGTCGAAATTCTTTCAAATAAAAGAGAGGAAAGGAGAGAAGGAGGGAGGAAGAGAGGGAGGGTAGACTCTTATTTCCAGACAGACGTGTACTGAAATTAGCAACGAGTCTCCAGTGCTGGACGTTCTTTAGAAAGATCAAGGTTGTACACAGGAACTGTGTGTGAGAGTGTGGGATTCAGGCTGAGGAGAGGAAATGCTGTGCAGATGCAGGTATCTGGGAATGAAGGCCCCTCGGCCCTTTGAAGCTGTCCGCACTCACCGTAGTGCGGGATGATGCTCCAGGCCATGGCAGATGCGTAGATGCCACCAGTCATCCAGAAGATGCCCAGCCAACTGAGATGCTCCCCTCGCTTCTCCCGGGACAAGAATTCAGAAAAATAGGCAAACACGATGGGCAGAGCACCCCCAATACTGCAGAGAAAAAAACGCCAGAAAGGAAGAACCAAGTCAGACACTAAAAACAGTGAGACCAGGAACGCAATTGCCTTGTCCCGCCCTTGGGCCAAGTGGTAAAACAACCCAGTAAATTCAAAAGACCAGCCTAAGGCAGCGTTAGGTTCTTTTGACCTTATCCACTGACTTTGCAACCTAACCCCTTTCTAAGATTCAACCTTAACACAGTATCTTGGAAGTCACACAAGAATTCAGGAACTTACCTGGTGGTCCAGTGATTAAGACTCTGCCCTCCACTGCAGGAGGCAAGGGTTCAATTCCTGGTTGGGGAACTAAGGTACCACATGCCCTGAGGTACAGCCAAAAATTTAAAAACAGAATTCAGTTCAAGGTTTTCTGGAGGACCACTCAGAGGCAGGGTACCAGGATGGATGGATGGTCTGGGGGCAGGAGGGGCCAGCTGAACCTCTGTGATTACGTACCCTATGCCTGAGATGAGTCTGCAGAAGAGGAAAGCTCCATATCCCTGCACGAAGGAGGAGAGGGAGGCAAAGGAAGCGTTGATGGCCAGGGAGATGCCGAGGACTCGCTTCCTCCCCAGCTTATCAGCCAGGCCCCCCAGGACAAAGGCTCCCCCCATCATTCCTAGGTAGACTATCAGCCCTGTGAGGAAGAGAGAGAGAAGGGAGGGTGGAGAGAGGAGACAAGAGATTAGAGACCACGCGATGTTTTAGAAAACCTGATACCCATCTTAATGTATCCTAGAAATTCTGTGTCACAGACATAAAAGGTGGAGTGTGACAGATGTCGACGGCAAATTAGACATGTTGGACAAATGCAACTCCTGAGGAATGCTATTCAGAAAATAACAGCCTCACCAGGTTGCCACATATGTACACGTGCTAAAATAGATCAACCAGAACTGGGTTTGACGTACCTTTCTTTGAAATGCGTAATGTGCAGCTGAAGGAAATTCTGTCATTTTTATTTTTAAACAACAAAGTGGCAGTGCCTCAAATGTCCTTACCTGTGGGGTTGTGCTTAAAGACAAATTTCCCAGGAAAAAGTGTGGTGAGGCAGGTGTGGGGGCCATTGGGAAGGAAAAGACATGATGAGAGTGACAAGAGCAGTCACCAACAAGACAGTTCGTTTTATTAAACACCCAAGCAGGACCTTTTCCAAGCCACAACCCACGTTCAGATTTCCTTTTTTTTTATTGGACTATAATTACTTTAAATGTTGAGATTTCTCAGAAGAATGTAGAAGAGAGCAGCCATGAGCTAGCCTTTCTTCAACAGGTATAACTACCACGTGCTTTGTAATACAATCAGTTACCCTGGTGGTGGTTTAGTCGCTCAGTTGTGTCTGACTCTTTGTGACCCCGTGAACTGTAGCCCACCAGGCTCCTCTATCCATGGGACTCTCCAGGCAAGGATACTGGAGTGGTTTGCCATTTCCTCTTCCAGGGGATTTTCCTCACCCAGGAATTGAACCCAGGTCTCCTGCATTGGCAGGCGGATTCTTTACCACTGAGCCACCGGGGAAGCCCCATCAGTTACCTTAAGATATAGGAATATAAATAAATACACTGTTGTAGACACATTTATGGAATTCCAATGAAACCAGCATCCTCATAGAGGTGGCAGATCTCTAGAAGCACAAGGATAATTCTTTCCAACTAAAAACTGAATACTTACTATTTATCAATGACTGTTGCTAAGAATATATTGATACATTATTGACTAAACCCAAGAAGGAAGTTTTGGAGAGCGTCTTTCACGCAGTGGAAATCCTGAATACAAATCAGGTAAGTGTCCTTTGCTCAACCTTGACTGTAAATCAGATGAAGAAGATCATTTATCTTTCACGGAAAGGAAGCTTCTCCTGACCCGTGGATGCTTTATTTAGGCAGATGTGTGCTGGGAAGGGCCCATGTACAGCCAAAATCTTCATTAGCTGTTTAATCAGCTTGAAGGGAGGGCCCCAAAAGGAGCAAATGAAGTATGCTCTGCTTTATCTTCCCAGTGGCAGATTCCCTTCTTTTATTATTTTATTTTATGAGATGAAAGAAGATAACTTTGGTGCTGTCAGTGGTTTTCACTAACTAGAATTTCCTTCACTCACATGCCTTTTCACTTTTCACATCTACACAACTCAAAGCCATGAAATAAGCTATTTCCTTTTTCCTTTCCACATATGACATCAGTCAAGGAAACACACCTAAGAGTCTACAGGCATTCATTCAATGCCTGTTATTAGTTAAGTGCTATTTGGTGGTGCTAGTGGTAAAGAACACACCTGTCAATGCAAAAAAATAAGAAACTCTGGTTCGATCCCTGAGTCATCAAGAATCCCCTGGAGGAGGGCATGGCAACCCACTCCAGTATTTTTGCCTGGGATATCCCATGGACAGAGGAGCCTGGCGGGCTACAGGCCATGGGGCCACAAAGAGTCAGACATGACTGAAGTGACTTAGCCCATGTTTCCATTACTGGGAACACAGCAGGATACAAACGCATGAAAATCCCTGCCTTCATGGCCCTTACATTCTAGTTGGGAAAAGAGATGATGATAAATAAGTGAGTGAAATATACAGTAAGTGGGTTGCTGAAAGCGATGTAAAGAAAAATAACACGGAGGCAGGGACAGGGAGAATCAGAGTGGGAGGTGACATTTCCAAATAAGATGGTTCAGAGATCCCTCGGGGAACTGGGACATTTGGGCAAAGACCTGCAGTGAGTCAGATATGGCTATGTCTAGGGGAAAGTGCTGTACCTATGCTCCTGGGCTCAAGGTTTTTCTCCACGACTATTTTACCAGTTTCCCAGCCCACAGCTTAGAAAATACAGTGAGCAATCTCCCACTTTATTAGGTCATTGACATCTGTGTTTGAGAAAATGAGCCAAGACTTGCAAACCCAGTCAGGCCTGGGTCACGCTGTATTGTAATGATGTCTGGTTAGTGTTCCCACTAGACTCTGAGTTTATCTGCCTGATTCAGCCCTGAGCAGCCAAGGGCTTTCAGCATCTGGCTCCTGGCAGACTTAATCTTGCCCAGTTCTTCGCCATTGAGTGTTATGTCTCAATGCCTTACTCACTGATGAGGATGTCTTAAAACCATCTTCTGTGGCTATGACCCGTCTCTATCAAGAATGAATTGGGGGCTTCCCTGGTTAAGAATCCACCATGCAATGCAGGGGACATTGGTTGGAGCTCTGGTCCAGGCAGATCCCACTTGCTTCGGGGCGATTAAGCCTGTGTACAGCAACTACTGACCTGCCTGCCTACAGCCTGTGCTCCCCACCAAGAGACGCCACCGCAATGAGAGGCCCTCACACCACAACGAGAGAGTAGCCTTCACTCGCTGCAACTGGAAAAAGCCTGTGCACAGCAATAAAGACCCAGTACAGCCAAAAAGAAATGAAATAAAAGTAAGTAAGTATTTTAAAAAAGAATGAACTGGGTCCTGCACCTGGGTTGGGCTGTAGCTTTCCTGTTACTCTCAACAGGTGCGCTAGTCTGCAAGACTGGCTTTCTGCCTGGTGTCCATGCTCGTTTCCTACCAGCATCTGAGGCCCCAACCAATTAGAAAAGTCCCAAACCTTGCCCCTGCCCGACCAGGCCCTCCCCAGGAAAGAACTGGGTTCTATTTCCTCAGACTCAGACAACCTACCTAACACGACACCCGTGGCCAGAGCCCCACATGTGAGATGCCCTGCCCTTCTTCTCCCCCTGGGAGGTCACCACCAGCCCAGTTTTACATTTATATTTACATTACAGCACCCCACATCATTTTACATCATTCCTTATGCTTGGTAATTCAGGCTTCTAGACCAGAGCAGAGAGGGAGCTATTTTCCCCAGGTAGGTATGTGCAGCTTCCAAGTTTGGCTGGCCTCATTTTAGTACAACTCCCTGCCTAGATGCTGGGGAAGACTGTGGGCCGGAGGAGACGGGGGTGGCAAAGGAGGAGATGGTTGGATGGCATCACCAACTCAAGTGGACATGATGAGTTTGGGGGAGGTAGTGAAGGACAGGGGAGCCTGGTGTGCTGCAGTCCACAGGGCTGCAAAGAGGACATGACCAAGAGACTGAACAACAACTGCCTAGAATTTCCAGCATCCCATTCAGCCAACAAATGACTTGTGTTGGTCTCGTGATACCTGGTTAGTAAAGACTTGGAATATAGAAAGAGATATTGAAAGGGAGGAAGGGGGTCCAATGGTTAAGAATCTACCTTGCAATGCAGGAGATGCAGGTTTGTTCCCTAATCAGGGAACTCAGATCTCACATGTCCCAAGCAACTAAGCCTGTGAGTCGAAACTGGAAGGTCCATGAGCCTCAGTGAAGATCCCACATGGTGCAACTAGGACCAGACACAGCCAAATAAATAAATAGATATTTAGGGGAATAAAGGAAGGGAGGAAAGGGGAAGGGAGGAGGAGGGAATTCCCACCCAAACTACAGCTCCATGAGCAAAGCAGATGCTACAGTGGCTTTAAGCCACCGAGTTATACAGGAATAGATAATGGGGTAGCAGGTGTATACTTGGACCGGTAATGCTGAAGAAGTTGAAGTTGAATGGTTCTATGAAGACCTACAAGACCTTCTAGAACTAACACCCAAAGAATATTTCCTCTTCCTTATAGAGGCCTGGAATACAAAAGTAGAAAGTCAAGAGCTACCTGGAGTAACAGGCAAATTTGGCCTTGGAGTACAAAGCAAAGCAGGTCAAAGGCTCATAGAGTTTTGCCAAGAGAACGCACTGGTCATAGCAAACACCCTCTTCCAACAACACAAGAGAAGACTCTACACATGGACATCACCAGATGGTCAATACCAAAATCAGATTGATTATATTCTTTGCAGCCAAAGATGGAGAAGCTCTATACAGTCAGCAAAAACAAGACCAGGAGCTGACTGTGGCTCAGATCATGAACTCCTTATTGCCAAATTCAGTCTTAGATTGAAGAAAGTAGGGAAAACCACTAGACCATTCAGGTATGACCTAAATCAAATCCCTTATGATCATACAGCGGAAGTGACATAGATTTAAGGGACTAGATCTGATAGACAGTGCCTGAAGAACTATGGACGGAGGTTCATGACATTGTACAAGAGGCAGTGATCAAGACCATCCCCAAGAAAAAGAAATGCAAAAAAGCAAAATGGTTGTCTGAGGAAGCCTTACAAATAGCTGAGAAAAGAAGAGAAGCTGAAGGCAAAGGAGAAAAGGAAAGATACACCCATCTGAATGTAGAGTTCCAAAGAATAGCAAGGAGAGATAAGAAAGCTTTCCTCAGTGATCAGTGCAAAGAAACAGAGGGAAACAATAGAATAGGAAAGACTAGAGCTCTCTTCAAGAAAATTAGAGATACTAAGGGAATATTTCATGCAAAGACGAGCACAATAAAGGACAGAAACGGTAGGGACCTAACAGAAGCAGAAGATATTAAGACGAGGTGGCAAGAATACACAGAAGAACTATACAAAAAAGATCTTCATGACCCAGATAACCACAATGGTGTGATCACTCACCTAGAGCCAGACATCCTGGAATGTGAAGTCAAGTGGGCCTCAGGAAACATTACTACGAACAAAGCTAGTGGAGGTGATGGAATTCCAGCTGAGCTATTTTAAATCCTAAAAGATGATTTTGTGAAAG